AATACAAGTACTTATAAAACCTCAGAGCTTCCAAGGGCTGCAGAGCCTCTCAGCCTCACAGGGTAGATCACAGCTCATCTTCCCAGAGTCAGACCCACACTGAGAAAAAGATTTTGCCCAGAAGATTTCACAGAAGCTCCCCAAGCCACAGATCTAACAAAAGCACCCATTCTTCTGACCTGTTCACTCTGGAACGAGTTCCTTTTTGTCCTGCCCTAACACTTCAGCTTCAGTACAGCCTCTGCTTTTCTGTTTGCCTCTGCCACTCAGGGGAAGAGCCTCTCACCTTTTTTGGACAGAACGTTTCATGTCCTAACTTCAGTTCATGCTGCAGAAGTTTGTCACTGGGTACTTTGCTATTAAAAAACGTGTCCTACCACTGGGAGATGCAGATGCTGCTCCCTCCCACACTGTGTCAAGGAGCTGCTTCCCTGTAACAGGATGAAGAGGCCTTTTTTGATCTGGCCCCATCACTGTTCTCCCTTGGGCCAAACAACAAGAGCTCAGCATTGCCATTCATGATTTTCCCTTATCCACAATCCTGCTCTACCACCAAGAATAAGAAACAGGGCTTGAGCTCCTCACATGAAAGGAAAATTGACAACTTAGGCCAAAATCTTACTCACTTTTTAAGAGATTGCCCTTTTAATTACTTTTTTACTCCACTGGAAAACAAAATACAAGTACTTATAAAACAGAGATTATGCATCAACACCCCCTTTAATCTTTGGACTGTTATTAACAGGTACTACTAACAAGAAAGTTGCAAAAATGCACTCTTTGCTACTTATTCCAATTGATGTAGAGATGATAATTAAGCTGGTTAAATTCAATTACTATCAATGTTTTTTCCTTATAACATCTGCTTTTCTTCACAAGCTGCATATAAATAATTCTAACTTTCATAGCTTAAATTTCATCCATATTTCATCCCAAGCAATAAAATTCTAGATTATCCATGATATTAGAAATGCCAAGAGAAACATCCATAGATTCTTAAACTCCATATTCCTAAGATTTGTGAGGGGAGAAGTGGTGACCTCCTAGGATTTCCTGTGGATTCTACCATTTATTATAAAAGTCTGTGGCTCATGTTGACAGGGTCAGGCAGCCTACATGCCCTTCCTCTAGAGGAGACCTTTTAACTCCCCCTGGGAGGTACACAAGCCAGTAAGACCAAATCTGGGCTGAGGAAAGAAAGCTCTGTTCTATGGAGACATCTCCCCACTGCTTTCTTCTGACATTTTCACCTCTTAAAGCAGCAGCAGAGGAGAAGGGCAAGACCAGCTTCTTCAGAGTCATCCACATTCCTGACTTGGTGCTGCTCTGAGCAGCCTGACTACCCAAATTCACCCAAGACATTGCTGCAAATACCACTCAGGATATTTGTTTGAAGCAGAACTGAAGCATCTGAACTTTATTCTCCCTTCCTGCCCTCACAGCCAACCACAGGGCATCCCTCTTCAAGCAGGTCTCCTACCATGCCAGCACGTCACCAAAAACCAGTGGGACAGGAACTCCATCTCTGCAAGACCACAAGGGATGCAGAAGTCTGGTCCAAGTTCCTTCCCCTCAAATCAGCAGCCAACAATGCCATGAATAACAAGCACATCATCTTTAGAAGAAGACACTTATTTTCCTGTTCATTCCT